TTACTCGATCTTCAAGCAAATAAATCGAAGAACTGGAACAGCAGCGCAGGGATGTTATTTTTTTTTCGTTGTTTTAAAAGCATTTTTTGCATGTTTATTTGTTTTGCGTTCAGTTTTGTTTTTCAAACTTAGGTAAATTTTCATTTTCCGCTTGCAGTGTTTCATCGGAAGACATAAAACTTAACTCACAGAGCGAAATTTAGCCAAGAGCATTTCATCAGTGAATTGCAAAATTTGTCCAGTTTGAAGCACTTTATCATTGCGATGCAAAATCCAACCATGCAGCATGTAACATTTCATGATCAAGATGCAAAATTTAGCCAAAAAAGACATAACATTGCGTCATGGGAATGCAAAAAAAAATTACTTTTCTTTGTTTGGTGGATAATGTGTTAACAGCTTTTTTTTTTAACACATGGCTATTTGTAAATTCGACAAGTACAAATTTTTTTCCTATAAGTATGATTTTGCGAAAAGTCAGCTGAGAGGGAGCAACATTTTCGAGGTTTGAAGTTCTGCAGAATTCTGCTGAACGAAAGATTCAGAAATTAAAAGTGTTTACATTTTGCTTCCTGTTAGTGATGCAGGCACTCGGGAGTGGCACTGAATGATAGCAGCACTAATCATCACTTCACGACGTTGTCGATGGTCCCTTTTTCGCAGACTGCTTGAGAAGTAAGCTGAAGATGATTTTAGAAGTCACACGCGTCCGTACCTTCATCGGGAGCGAATCACTGATTTTGTAGGAGTTTTGTTTTCCCGGTAGCGGATTCGAGGCAGTTACCCGAGCCTCACGTACCGATACACTAGACGTATTCCTCAGAGTAGAAAGATGAACATCTCAGATCTAGTACTTTCTGCCTCTGTCCACCAGAAGACTGAAACGTACGAGATATCTACAAAAGAACGTAGAAAACTGATGGATCGAATTAGCGTTGCTGCTGCTCTGTGGATTTGATGATGAAGCAAGCAGAAACGCGCTTCCAGAGGCGCTTCACTAACTGCCATCGTCTGTGCTTGCATCGTCCCGGTCTGCTGGCCGTAGCTACTCGCAGTTGTTGCAGCTTCTGCGCTCGTCGACATTCCAGTAAATGCTCATCGATCAGCTAAAGGAATTAACTAGTTAGAAACTTATCAATAAACGGACTGATACCTTACTTTTCGTCATTTTTCCCCCATGAAGATGATTTCGATATCCCCACTCCATCATATGCAGTGCAGTAATGCTATCCTTGCTTGACAGGGTAAATTTCTTAAAGAACCGCTGCTTCCGATTACAGATTTGGAGCTTTTATGTGGTTTTCTAATAAAACGAGTTCCTCGTATAAACATATCATCAAGATCGGCCACTTCCTTCACAAGGAGAGAAGAAAAACCCTTTCTCAAAAGACATGGTGCATTCGTACTCCTTCCACGATTGATTTCTGGGCAGTATGAGTGGATGGACACCACATGATTACCGTTACCGGATTTGGTCATTTATA